TAAATTACTTGCAATACAACTGACAAGTAATTATTCATAAGATACTGGTAAGAACTGCTGTTCTATGTAGCACTCAGAATGCTAGACACATAGATGGCAATCACTAAATACTTAATTAACCAATTAGTATGTCAGCCTATTAATCAATCAATTACACATAAATGTTAATTATTGCTGCTGCCATCTGATGATGATCATCATCATCATGTAAACTACAAACAGTACATTAGCTGACTCTCTTGTGGACAGACTCTAAGTGAACAACTTACAGAGTAAATATAACCAATATTTTAACAGTACAACATGGCCACTGCACTTCTGAAGCTTATGATGATTGTGACAGTTTCTATGGTAATCATCATGCAACCTTGTACCTCTTGTGTAACAGTGTGACTACTATTGCAATCTTGGGTAAAATTAGTAAATTGTGAACTTCATCTGCCAGTGCAGTCAGGGATCAGATAACTTTTCTTCCAACCAAAAGAAATCCTTCCTATGACAACGCAAATCTTGCTCTACATTAAAATGATTCTCACTTTTACAATAAGAAATTATTTGAGCAATGGGAGTCCTTCAACAACAACTACAATTCAAATATAACATTTTTTAACTATTACCTATTCTCCAACATCATAATATGTCTTTAATTGCCAGTTACACAAATAGCCTATGATTTGATTTTGAAACAACCTCCACCCCCTCAAATCTTGAAAATGTCGTATCTTTACCTGAAAAATCTTAAAATGTCTACAGAATACCAAAAACAAACCAAACCCACTGCTATGTTGACTCATAGCAAAGCAGGACAGAGTAGAACTGTTTTATAGGGTTGCCAAGGCTATAAATCTTTACAGAAACAGACTGCCACATATTTCTCCCACGGAGAGGCTAGGAGGTTTGAACTGCTGACCCCATAACCCTTCAGCTAGCAAGCGACTGCTTTACCATTATGCTACCAGGGCTCCTATATACTAGATGGCTTAGGTATAAATGTATCTATAGGCCAAGAGTCTCCTGTTTTCTCTAATTCTGATGCCCTAACATTATAGAGATTAATCCAAGGATAAAAAATTTTAACTTATTTTATTTCTTAGTATTGCCTAAAAAGCCACTACTTAGAAATCCTTGTAAAAGTAGAATGCAGAGAAAGCTTCAGTCTATCATGCCCTGGAAACTTCCAAACATCATCCAAACAGCCCAAAAGAATGTCCTACTCAACAGTTCCAAGGATGTCACTAATTGCTTCCATCTGTTTCCCTCTCCGTCCCCTCCCCCTCCAAGTCAAGGCATCTATTGAAGTTATTTTCTGCTTCATGTTACATTCTAAAGAAAAGCAAGAAAAGTATAATTAAGAGGCATCGTGTTTTAAATTGCAGAATATTTCCCCAAAATTTGTGTGACAACTGCAGCCATATTGTTGTTTATACTCTAGGCTATTTTCAAGTAATAGCTCAGAGTATGACAATATTAACTGCTATACTTTTAAAAAAATTGCTCAGTAAAATTTTCAGTTGGTCATTACATACTCTTTCCCCTGAGTTCCCAGGGAGAGTAGGGTATTTTCCTCATGGCACCACAAAGGTTAAAAAAAATCTGAATGGTTTCACCCATTGATGATACTTGCCTGACTCAATTGTTTCATTACAAGTTACACATGATTTTCTAATTCTGTCATTCCTTCCACATTTATTGGTTAGAACTCCCCTCATCAACAAGGACTATTAGGGTACCCTGAAATAAAGTTTGCACAGAAAAGGCAGGATAAATGCTTAATTATTTCAACTACCAATTTTCAGAGTAAAGTGTTGGTACCCTAGCTGTCACCAATAGTTATCAGAGAAGTTTTGTTTTAACTACCCACTGTCTTGAAAACTTTAACATCATTAAGACACACTCCTCTTTAATTTTTCTAAGTCCCCAAGGAAGCCTTTGAGAGCACACGGCATACTTCAAAGGTTTATCTCTGGAATTGGACAAGGCTCACTAATAAAATTCATTAGCAATCAAATTATATTCATAGAATAGAATCTCATGGTTGAAAGGAACCATTTTTAGGGTCCTCTAGTTCAACTACAAAGGAACTCTGGTGGTATAGTGGTTAAAGCATTTGGCTGCTAATCAAAAGGCTGGTGGTTTGAACCCAGCTACTGCTCCACAGAAGAAAGATGAGGCAGTTTGCTTCCATAAAGATGTATAGCCTTGGATACACAATAGAGGTCACTATGAATCAAAACAATCAATAGCAGTGAGTTTGGCTTGGTTTGAGGCCAGCTACCATTTGTTGTTAAACCCTATGTACATGAACTGGTATACGCTTTGTTGAGCATATTCTCAACACCACAGAATTTAAAAATAATAATAATAATAAACATTTATTTAAAAAGTAAGCATGCTAGTACCATAGAACCCAACAATTATACTTCTGGGCATTTATCCCCAAAAAAAAGAAACTTATGTACATACAAAATAATGTTCATAGCAATGTTATAGAAGTTTTAGTAATAACCAAAAACTGGAAACAAAGATGTTCTTCAAGGGGTAAATGGTTGTATTTCTCAACAATAAAAAGAAGTGAGTACTGATGCCACAATAACCTCAAAGAAACTCCAAAAATGATGCTGGGGCAAAAAAGCCAATCCCCCAAAATTACAAACTATGATTCCATTTATATAACATTCTTGAAATGACAGAAGTTTAGGAGTGGAGAACAGATTTGTGGTTGTCAAGGGTAATGGACAGGCAATGGTAGGGGGCATGGAGGATAGGAGAAAAGTATATGTGGCTTTAAAATGTTTACACAAGGAGTTCTTGTGGTGATGGAAATGTTGTGTATCTTGACTATATCAATGTTAGCACCCTGGTTGTGACACTGTACTACAGTTTTCCAAGAGTTACCACTAGGGAAAACTGGGTGAAGGGTACATGATCTCCCTGTATTATTTCTTACAATTGTATATGGATATGTAATTATTTCAAAGTAAAATTTTTTAATTAAAAAAAAAAAAGAAAAACTATTTTACAGAAAATGATTTTGCTCTGTAAATTTTCACCCAAATCACAATAAAAATTTAAAAAGAAAGAAACCATCTGTATATTATCTCACCATGTTCTCTACCTTCCAGGGGGTAAGGGACAACTTGATAGAAACTAGACTTACGTATTTAATGTAAGATAAATATTCAAGTTTAATTATAATGTCAGCTCTGTTAGCATAGTGCCTAAGGCACTTGGCTGCTAACCAGAAGGCTAGCGGTTCAAACCCACCAGCCACTCCTCGGAAGGAAGGTTGGGCAATCTACTTCTGTAGTGATATTGCCTTGGAAACCCAAGGAGGGGTCACTATGAGTCGGGTCTGACTTGATGGCACACAACACCACCACCAAGAGACAGTATAGAATTCCTCTTATCTCTCCACACTGATGAAATGGCACAAAGTAGGCACATAGTTTAGAGTTACAAAGACCTTGTAGATCACCAAACCCAACGAATACAAGTTAAAAAAAGAAAAGAAAACTACTCCCACAAAGCAGGTTTTACAAAAAGCAGGTACTTTCTGTACCTTACTTCCTGACACATGAAGATATTTTGCAGTATTAAGAAGAATGTATTTCTACAGAAGCATCCACTAAAGTAAATTAGAAATAAGAAGATATCAATATGGATAAAAAGTTTTGCATCTGTTCAATGGAAATAACAGAACATAAGGAGGATAAAAATAATACTTTCAGCTTTATTTAAAAGTATGACATATATACACAGAAAATTACATAAAACATATGTATAACTATTTTTAAAGTACCCATGTAAACTATCAACCAAGTCAAGAAATAAAACAGCATCGCTTTAGAAGTTCCCATGTACCTCTCCCTAAATATAACTTTCTCTATCCCTCCCAAAGGTCCTTGACATTTGTGATGACTTCCTTGCTTATCTTTACCTTTTCACAACATAAACAGGCATCCCTAAAACATTTCTGCATATTTTTGAACTTTAAATAAATGGAACCTATCTATCTATAGCTCACTCATGTAAATAATTTGTGAGACTTATTCATTAAATTTTATTACAAATTAATACTCCATGACTGTATCATGATTATTTTTACCCATTATACTTTACATATACAGTGGGGTCAGTATGAACAATGTTAATACAGTTTTTTTAATATATAAATCCTGGTATGAGTATGTACAAGTTTCTCCAGGAAACGTACCTGGCAATGATACTGCCTATCTTCAACTTTATTAAAGCCAAACTTTTTTCCAAAGTGACTGTACCAATTTACATTCCCAGTAGCAGCATAGAAGAATTTCAGTTCTTCCACATCCTCATCAACAGCTGATATTACTAAACTTTTTAATTTAGGGGCTCAGAATAAAATAATTTGCACTTCCCTGATGACAAATCAGATCGAATACCTCTTCCTACGTTTATTGGCCATTTGGATTTCCTCTCTTTTTGATCTACCTATTCAAAGCATTTGTCTTTTATTTTTTTCTTAATTGAACAGTTGTGTCTTATTAAATTGTACTTGTTTAATTGCCTTATGCATCATCAGTTTTTACCCTTACATAGGACTTGACTGCTACATGGAAGAAAGCTATCAATCAAAGAAGACATAATCAAGAACCTGAGAATGTTTATCTAATCAAAAGTTAGTGTCTCTGCTTCTTTTATGTAGGATGTATCAAAGTATCTAAAAATTATTTACGGGACTATTAGGCAATGGGTAAATATAACTTCATTTTAAAGTGCTACAAAATAAGTCACAATATTTAAAAAAAAAAAAAAAAAACATCTATTGTTATTCTTTCCTCTCCAAAGATATTTAGTACAAAATTCAGATTCAGGCATGCTACAGTCAAATATACTTCTGAATCCTTTCCACTCTGGAAAATAAGCCTTGGAGGTCATGGTTTTGTTATAAATTATGATGTCAAAATGGCTAATACCATGACTAAAATCAACAGCAGCAAACCTACGGGTTTTTAATCACTTACTTAATAAATGCTGGTGGCATGTCTCTCTTCAAAATCTGATCTTCAGTGGTCTGAACAGTCTCTTTCCCCACCTATGAGAGGAAAGATTCATAATTCAAATCCAAACTCTCAGATTAAAAAACTATTATTTGAAACATGTATTTTACACATAATCTACCATTGAAGTTTCTTAATTACTGGATTTTTCTGAAAATTAAGATTGTTCCACAAACTCCCACAATATGCCTGCATAATATGAAGTACAAACACAATGTTACAGTTCATCTCCTACAGAGAAGTCAATTTGAAGACATCATTGGGCACATTGAGAAAAAAGCAAAATTTGCCATTTTGAATATGTGTGTGTGTGTGTGTGTGT